CATATGTGGCTACAAAAAGTCTTGTTGGGCCTTTGCTACAAGTTACACGAATGCAGTCATCACTCTGCTGACCTCGAACCGTGTTGAGCAGGGTTCGCACCATTCATTTAGAACTTCAGCTTCCATTGGAGTTGTATTATTCTCAGCATAGACATCCTGTAGTAATTTTAGATTTATACCTAAGCATTTCTTTTTCTTTTTTTTAAGTGCAGTTATAAATGGCAGGGTTTTTGGTAGTGTTTTATGGGTTTTGGTTTTGGTTTTTCTTTAGACAGGGTCTTGCTACATAGCCTAGGCTAGACTTGATCCTCCTGCCTCAGCCTCTCAAATACTGGGAGTACAGACACTATGCTTGACTCTGGTTTTTTGGGATTTGGGTTTTTTTGTAATGGAAGAATTAGTATCATTAAAATGTGTGTTCTACACAATGTGGTCTATAGATAGAATGCAATTTCCATCAAATAGTATTGTATTTTTAATTTCAGTGTTTGCCTGTTTATTGTACATAGAAATTGAGGCTGGGAGTGTGGCTCAGTGGTGGAAGGCTTCCCTAGCATGCCTGAGGCCCTGAGTTCAGTTCTCACAGTTCTCAACTCTACAAGAAAAGAAAAATGAAGGAAGAAATGAAGGAAGATTTTCTATGTTTACTTTCTAACCTTCCTGAACTCATGTTGGTTCTAGAGTGATTTTTTTTAAGATTCTTTTTAAGTTTTCTACATAGGCAAATAGGAACAGTTCTGTTTTTTCTTTTCTGATCTGTATGTCTTTTATTGCATTTATTTACTTATTTATTTATTTTGCATTGATGGTCTGATTAAACCTCCAGCACTGTTATGGTTAAGTGTTATAATAAGAGTAGTTCTCCCTGCTGTTTTCCCAGTTTTACAGGAGATCATCCAGGTCTTCACTGCTAAGTGTGTTACTGTAGCCTTCTGAAGTGTTCTTTATCAAACAGCCCTCTATTATTATTCTTCTGAGAGGTTTCTTCGTGACGGGTATTCAATTTTGTCAAGTAAGCACTTGACAAAATTTATCCCTTAATATAATCATATGATTATTTTTCCGTCATAAGGTTGTTAACGTTGTGGGCTGTCGTCATTAAGTTTTAACTATTGAATCAGTCTTCTGCCACTGGAACAAGCCCCCTTGGGAATGGTGTGTAATTCTTTTAATATTGCTTTATTTACCAAGGATTTCCACACTGTACTCGTGACAGATAGTTGTCTCTTTCAGATACTGTCTTTGATATCTGGGTAACAGTAGCTTCATAAAATGAGTTGTGAAACATTCCTTCCTCTCTTGTTTTCTGAATTGGTGTTACTATTTATTTATTGGCAGTGCTGGGGTTTGAACTTAGGGCTTCACACTTGCTAGGCAGGTACTCTTTATCACTTGAGCCACACCTCCAACCCTGGTGTTACTTCTTTAAAAGCTTGCTAGAATTCTCCAGTGAAACAAGATGGGCCTGAAGATTTGCTTTATGAGTTTAAATTAGGAATTCAGTTTCCTTAATAATTATACAACTGTTCACATTGTCTGTTTCATATTGAAAGGCTTGTAATAGTTTGTGGTTTTCATCCAAGTTTTCAAGTTTATGTTTGTAGAGTCGTGTGTAGTGAGCCCTTACTATCTTTTTGATGCCTGCAGTGCTATCTCCTGTTTCCTTCCTGATATTGGTAAATTGTTCTTTTTCTTTGTCGGGCTTACTAGAGGTTTGTCAATTTTATTGATCCTTTCAAGGAATCTCCCTGGACATCCTAGGCAAGCACTTTATCACTTCAGCCATGCCCTTTATTTTGTTTTTGAGAAAGGGTCTCATGCTCACTTTGCTTGGAACGGCCTTGAGCTCATCATCCTCCTGTCTCCACTTCCCGAGTAGTTGGGATTACAGGCATGTACCATGATGCCTGGTTTGTTTTCCTTTTCATTGATTCTGCTCTTTATTATTTCTTTCCTTTTGCTTGCTTTGGGCTTATTTTTCTCTTCCTTTCTTTGTTCTTGAGACTATTTGGTATTTGTTTCAAGAACATTTGTAATTATTCATTGAAACATTTTATGATGGCTGCTTTAACATCTTTGTCAGATATTTCTAACACCTCTGTCATTAAATATTGGCATCCTGCCAGACATGGTGGTACCTGCCTATAATCCCACTAAGGATTAGCACTAGGGAGGCTAAGGTAGGAGGATGGTGAGTTTGAGGCCAGTGTTGGCTAAGAGAGCAAGTTCAGGGCTATCTAGGCTATATAGACTCTGCCCCAAAAAAACAATCAATCAATCAAGAAATAAATATTGGCATCTAGTGATTATTTCTGTTCATTCAGTTTAAGATCTCTCTGGTTCTTGATATGATAAGGGATTTCTTTTTTATTTAAAACTGGACATTTTGGGTAATATAGATATATAATATGTATATATACATACACATTTTGGGATATATAGGGTCTTACTTAAAACTATTTTAGCTGTTTTCCTCTGGCACTGCCTTGACCTGCTTCACCAGGGATTGCCAAGTGTGGGTAGAATTTCAGATCCCAGATTTGAGGGGAGCCCTCATTGCTGAAGCATGTGGGTTGGAGTTCTGGATCCCTAAAGGCCCCCACTACTGCCTCACTCACTGCCTCACTGACTGGGAAGGGTAGGAGTGCTCTGTTCCTACTCCCCCATGGCCTCCTCTGCACTCCCCAGCAGGGAGACAGAGGAGCATCACCTTGCTGCCAGTGGGGCAGCTACCCAGGTGACCCAGGTGGGCAGTGGGGGCTTCTGCGCTACCCAGCAGGAGTGAACCTCTGCTCAGCCTTCTCTGACATCACTGCCTAGAGGGGTGGGTACCTTGGCACAGCCTGGAAAGGATCCGGACACCTGGCTGATGTGGTTAGGAATGGGGTTACAGTGTTTCTGGAGTGTTTGGTCATTTTCTTTCTTTTTTTTGTGGTACTGGGGTTCAAACTCAAGGTCTACATCTTGAGCCACTCCACCAGCCCCTTTTTTTTGTGATGCATTTTTTCTTTTTTTTTTTTTTCATTTTTCTTTTATTATTCATATGTGCATACAAGGCTTGGTTTATTTCTCCCCCCTGCCCCCCCCCTCCCTTACCACCCACTCCACCCCCTCCCCTCCCCCCTCAATACCCAGCAGAAACTATTTTGCCCTTATCTCTAATTTTGTTGTAGAGAGAGTATAAGCAATAATAGGAAGGAACAAGGGGCTTTGCTGGTTGAGATAAGGATAGCTATACAGGGCATTGACTCTCATTGATTTCCTGTGCGTGGGTGTTACCTTCTAGGTTAATTCTTTTTAATCTAACCTTTTCTCTAGTTCCTGGTCCCCTTTTCCTATTGGCCTCAGTTGCTTTAAGGTATCTGCTTTAGTTTCTCTGCATTAAGGGCAACAAATGCTAGCTAGTTTTTTAGGTGTCTTACCTATCCTCACCCCTCCCTTGTGTGCTCTCGCTTTTATCATGTGCTCATAGTCCAATCCCCTTGTTGTGTTTGCCCTTGATCTAATGTCCACATATGAGGGAGAACATACGATTTTTGGTCTTTTGAGCCAGGCTAACCTCACTCAGAATGATGTTCTCCAATTCCATCCATTTACCAGCGAATGATAACATTTCGTTCTTCTTCATGGCTGCATAAAATTCCATTGTGTATAGATACCACATTTCTTTTTTTTGTGGTACTGGGGTTCAAACTCAAGGTCTACATCTTGAGCCACTCCACCAGCCCCTTTTTTTTGTGATGCATTTTTTCAAGATCAGGTCTAACTAGTTGCCTGGGCTGGCTTCAATCCGAGATCCTCCTGATCTCTGCCTCCTGAGTAGCTAGGATTACAGGTGTGAGCCACTGGCACCCAGCTTTTATCTTTTTTTGTTTTTTTTTTCTTTTGCAGTACTGAGGCTTGAACTCAGGGCCTTGCACTTGTTAGGCAGGTGTTCTACCACTTGAGTCACTCCTCCAGCCTGATCATTTTCTAAAATGTGTCTGTCGCACTCGTTTCCCCCTGTCCTGGTCCTTTGACTGAGGTAGCCGGATTTTGGAGGACATCTTTTGTCTTCACCATTGACATTTCTGTTGCTGGCTTCTTCAGCTCCAATCTGACAGATAGGAGGCAAGAAGAAACCCTAAGGAACTCAGCTTCTGGCTCTCCTTGGGTCCCTTTCTCTGCATCTCTCAGGCCTTCTGTGTTTATTTTAGATGTAGTAATCAGTGTGTCAGTTGTTTTTAGGAAAGGTACAGCACTGCCTCTTCCCAGAAGCAAAACAACCCTTCTCTTTCTGCTGAGTCGTCATCATCATCATCACAGTTCTCATCATTGTCCTCCTCTTCCTTTCTTCTTCCTTCTTCCTTCTTCACTTAGAACATTTAATGCACATCTAACTGGTGAGGTGAACAGCTGGCTGCTGCGCAAGCTGCCCTCTGGAGTTAGGTGTTGTTCCCTCACAGAATTCTGACCTGAGTCTGCCATGTACAATTTTTTAGGTGCCTCATTCGACCTGTCCTGGTGCCTTTACATTTTTGAGTGTTCCTCCCTTGTCTTGTCAGGGTAGCCATAATTGCCCCAGGTTGACTTCTGAGAGTAGGAGGGGCCTCAGAGCCACAGCACAGGCACTGTGTGTATGGCTTACAACATTTTTCAAATGATAAAGTTCCTTTGGTCATCTGGCTTCTATGACGAAGATCATAGCGCCAGGTCTTCTTATTGCCTGTGCGCTGCTAGAGAAGTACAGCCACATAGCCCCATGAGGGCTTAACACCTGTAGTCACTCAGTGGATACCGTGACCTCACAGAGAGATTAGGAGCTCACTGACCTCTTCACACTAAGCGTGGAAGGGCTCACTAGGGCACTGGCTTCCTGGGGGGGGTTGTTGGCTTTCTTCCCTCACCCTCATGAAACCGTTGTGAGCAGGGGCAGTCAGCAGCCCCTGAGAGCCTGTGAAATGTAAACCTGCCAGTCAGTGTTTAACAACAGAGCACTCCCCATGTCTCCTTTGAAACAGGAGGACCATGACACCATGGAAGCCGATCTGGACAAAGACGAACTGATCCAGCCCCAGCTGGGAGAACTGTCAGGCGAGAAGCTTCTGACAACGGAGTATTTGGGAGTAAGTGCCACATGGGGTCGGGGTGGGGGGGTGGGTAGCCCTGGAATAGGAAGGGTAGTAGATGGGTGTGTAGGATTTAGCGTTTTCAGTAATGCAGAGTTCCGTGAGACTTGCTGCAATAGTATGCTTATGAAAAGGTCCCTGTTAGAGCTCTGCATAATGGCTCACAGCTATAATCCCAGCTACCCAGAAGGCAGAGATGGGAGTAAAGATAAGAGGATCACCATTCAAGGCCATCCCAGGCAAAAAGTTAGGGAGACCCCCATCTCAACAAGCAAGCTGGGTATGTATGGTGAATCACAATGTAATCCCAGCTAGACAAAAGTAGGAAGATCATGGTCTGAGGCCAGCCTGGGCAAAAAGCACAAGACCCTATCTGAAAAATAAAAAAAGCTGCAAGTGTGGTTCAAGTGTAAGGGCATCTGTCTACCAAGATGAGGTCTGAATTCAAGTTCCTGGCACAGCCAAAAAAAAAGAGCCATTTACTCTCAGTGGCCCTGGAGACCTGTCACAGATAGACCTGCTGGTGTACAGAAGCGAGATGGGGCAGAATCAGTAAAAGGCCTGCCATGAGTGCTGGCAGTGTCTGGGAGAATGCCTGTCCACAGTAACAATCATTGCCAGTCAACCTGTACTTTTCCATGTGCTGATGGATTTGGACAGTGTCAGCACAGAGGTGGTGACTGAAGCCATGGAAATGGAGCACGGAGAGGGAGAGGGTGGAGTGAGGGCAGGGCCTCTCCAGCATATGCATGTCAGGCATGGGAGACGGAGAGGCCCCCATGAGGAGAACAGCAAGCCGGTGGAGAACCCCAAGAATGCAGGTCACGGAAACAGAAGACAGGAGGGCTTCAGGATGGATCCAGCACTCTGAGAGGCCATCACGGGGCCAGAATCTGACCTCTGAGAGCTCCCTGGTGGCTCTGATGCTCAGCCAATTAGGAAGGACATGGACTGGGAGGGTGGGGGGAGCAGCTTGTTGCTATAAGTCACGTGCTTACATGTACCAGGCTCTGTCGCCAACACCAAAAGTAAATAAGGGAAGGACTCAAGTCAGAAGGGAGCTGGCCCAGGAGATGGTGGCAGTGCTGGCCCACAGGTGTCTCAAGAAGCCTTGGTCAGAGGCAGGTCAGGTGGACAAGTGAACAGGTGGATGCTGGCCTGTAAGGCTTTGGAAGGGAGCCAGCTGTTGCCAGGGATGTGGACCACACTAGACAGAAGCCTTGTGTCAGACGACTGAGCATGCCAGGATACAGGTCATTGTCTCCATAAGGAGTTGGGGTACTTTGAAGCAAGCAAGTGCCCAGCAAGGTCAGCCTCATGGACCCCAAATCCCCACACCTGGGAAGGGGGGAGTTGGAGAGGAAGGCTGGAGCCAATCTCTCCACAGTTCACTGGCAGAGCCAAAGACTTGGAAAGAGAGAAGATGGTGTGTGCAGGTGGCCTGAACCTTCATGGGAGAGAAGGGAGCAGAAGGTACCTGTCCATTCCCACTGCCATCCCCCAGCCCAGGCCCTCATCCCCTCATCAGAGCATTGGTGCCCCTGCTTGCCTGCAGTCCTCGCTTCCTCTGGAACCAAGGAACTTATAGGGGCTCCAGGCTGGAGCAAGTGCACACTATGGAAGCTGAGGTAAGAGGGCAGCCAAAGGCCACCTCGTAGGGGTTACGCAGGTTGCAGATTGGACTCTGCCTGAGCCGGGACGTCACTGGAGGCCGAGCGCAGGGAGTGACCCATTTCATTTATGTTGAAACACATCAACTTCGAGTTGCACTCTGGCTGCTTTCTGGGGGCGAAAGGAAGGCAGAGAGGCAGGGGACTAAAAGGGGCTCAGGGCAGGCTAGCCACCACTATCTTAGGTGTGGACAAAGTCTGTTGGGCAGGACCTACTGTTGTCCTTAGAATGCCTCATGGACCAGAGGACCCAGTGGGCTGTGGAGGCTCCATTCACACGTGGTCAAGAAAGGAAAGGTCAGGAGGAGCCCTAGGGTTCCAAGTTGTTGACAGAAGTCTTGAGCTGTGACTTGGCCTTCGTTTTCCTCGAAGCTCACTGGCTTTGTTGGAGAAGCTGGGCTCCCTCAGATGGGACATGTGTTCTTTAAAGCATCTTCCAGGACCAGGAAAAAAGCAGAGGCAGATGGGCTGGTCACAGTTGGAGAGTTGCTGGGACACCTATGCAGAACACTGTACCTGTGTCCAAAGCTGCAGTCCTGAAATGCAGCCACACAGCAAGTAAGCACCAGCAAAGACATTCATTGTCAGACACCTGAATACAGCCCTTGGTTAATAATTTGTGGCACCTCTGCACAATGCAGTGCTATGAGGGACATCATGTGTGGATGTGGTGATGATCTTTAACAACCAGTGAAACGGGGGAAGAGCATGCTGGGACTGCCAGATTGGTCAGGCACAGAGAGACAGCGCTTTCCCTCAACTGTGCCCCGGCGAGTATCATTTTACCCCATCCTGCAGCACTGAATCTCCACAGTCACTTGGAGGAAATGCTTTGAATCCAGTAGAAAAGGTGCTCCACGCATGCGTGCACGGCGCAGGACCAAAGCTGGTGGCTTAGAACAACAGAAATGTATCTTCTCACAGTTTGAGGTCAGAAGTTCAAAATCCTGATATTAGCAAGCCCAGCTTACTCCAAGACTCCTAGGGAGAATCCTCCTTTTCTCTGCCAGCTTCTGATGGCTCCAGGTGACCCATGTCACTCGCATCTTTGTGTCAGTCTTCAGTGGCCTTCTCCTCTTCTGTCACTGGAGACCAGTCACTGGAGTTAAGGCCCACCTGGTTAGTCCAGGATGACCACCTCATCTCAAGGATCCTTAATCACATGTGCACAGACTTTTTCCTAATAAGTCATGTTCACGGGTTCCAGGGTCAGGATCAGGACGTGGACATAGGCTTTGAAGGCCAGTGTTCAGACCCTGGCCTAGGGCACCACAGGATCTCATCATTAGGACATCTTATAGTTTGTTAGAGAGCTGTGTGGAGCAGAGCAGTGACCCCTGAGGTCACACATGTACTCTCAGTGCTGTCATTGGTGGCCAGTCATCTTACGATGCCCTTGGTCACCTAGGCCTGTGACCTAAAGTTACCAACCTGCAGCCTACATGTGCTGGACCAGGGTTTCCACCCTGTCCTTTGACCTTGTAGTGCATAAAAGTATTTAAGTCACATGAGTGTATGTGCCAACCAATGCACACTGATGAGGCAGATGTCGCTTCAGTGGGGAAAACATAGGCTGGACTTCATGACTTGGGCGTTTTATTCTGATGCATCAGGAACCTGGCAGATTTTTCAAGATGCATCTGAAGATGTTGGTTTTGGAAGCATTGCCAGAAAACTGTCTTCAAAAAGTATTTCTTGCTGGGCGCCAGTGGCTCACATCTGTTACCCTAGCTATTCAGAAGGCAGAGATCAAGAGGATCACAGTTCAAGGCTAGCCCCAGGCAAAAAGTTCTCAAAGTCCATCACAAAAAAAGGCTGGCAGAGTGGCTCCAGTGGTAGAACGCCTGCCTATCAAGTGCAAGGCCCTGAGTGCAAGATCCAGTATCAAAAAAGAAAAAAAAAAAAAAAAACACCTTTCTTAAACCTAAACCATTTGCAGCAGAATACTGAAGAGGTTTATAGCAGTTGCCTTCAGGAGGTTGACAAAAGAAAACCCAAAACAGATGAAACTGCTCTTGTTGAGGTAAGAGTGGTCAGGAGATTGACAGGTATCAGCCTGCAGAACCAGCGCTAGGCCCAGACCACATGACTGGAAGCCCCATTAGCCCAGGAACTATTGTACACAAGGGTGATTTAAGAGACAGCCCTCGGGGATGGGAGGAAGTGCCTCCAAGATCCCTGGTCCCAGAGATCACCCTGCTAGGCACTGTGGCTACAGAGCCACATTGCTGTTCCCTAACCTCTGAACTGAAGCCCAGCCACACAAAATGCTGGAGACAGAACAAGGCACGTTTAGAAAGCCTGAAGGTGAAGCGGCAAGCTGAATGCAAAGAACAACCACAATTTTACCAACCCAGAGATGATCACTGTTATCTCTGTTATCGTTCTTTTTTCAGCTAAGATGGGCACAGCTGTGAATAACAGAGTCCTGCCTTGTCAGTCCAGCTGGGGTGCCAATGGTCCCCAGCCTCTCCTCTTCACCCTCTTTACCCTGCCTGTCAGTAAGAGGGGGCCTCTAGCTTCTGAGGCTTTGGGAGGTCTCCTTTAAAATAAAGGAATACAGAGGGCAGGCAAGGTGCCACAGACCTGTAACCCTAGCACTTGGGAGGCTGAGGCAGGACTACCACAAGTTCGTAGCCAGCCTTTAAGGCCCTATCTCAGGAAAGAGAGAGAGAGAAAAGAAATACAAACTTAGATGTAGAAGTGAATACTTATTTAGAATGAGAATGGGAAACAAATCAGAGTCAAATTCAAACTTAAAAATTGACTTAAAATGCCACAAAATCTGGAAAGCTAATGTTGTATTAACTAGCTGTGTGGCACACCTCATAGTTTTTCTGCTTATATTTTTTATTTTATGCTTTTTTTTTTCAGTTGATTAGATGCTGGTCTTTTTTTTTTTCCCTTGGTGATTCTGGGGTTGAACTCAGGCAGGCGCTGTACCACTTGAGCCACGCCTCCAGCCCTTGATCACTTCTCTTTGGATGACAACTTTGTAATGTCATATAAGCATAAACATAAAAATTGTGATCTGAAGTTCTCTGAAGAAGTCACATATACATTCAGGAGCCTGCATACTGTCTGAGTTGGCTAACCAGAACATCTGATTGTGGAGAGCTGGAATGCCATAGGTTAAGAGCCATTCTTAGTTCCTTTTAATAACCATTTACTGCCATCCTCTGTATTTGACCTAACATCCTGGTGACTACTAGATAAAACTCTTGAAAGGTATAGTAGGCCTGACAGCCCTCTAGCCTCCACCAGCCCTAAAGCTAAGAATTGGATAAAGATAACAACTGAATAGCCCCTTGATAAGGATAACAGCTGAATCCTGTGGATAGACTCCCCAGCCTCTGGTAGGCTGCCTCCCTCTTGGCCCCACCTATGTGATTTGTAAACACATTGATTCATGACTTCCTTTTGATCTATGACTATAAAGTTCCTGTAACTTCTTCCCTCTGTGGAACTTATCATTCAGGATAACTTGAGTCCAATGCTCCCACGTCATGGTCAGTTGTGCTTGGCCCAGAATACTTTCTTACTTCCTTTAAAGCAAAGTTGTGCCAGGTGCCTGTAGTTCATGCCTGTAATTCTAGCTACTCAGGAGGCAGAGATCAGGGGATCATGGTTTGAAGCCAGCCGGGACAAATAATTCATAAGACCCTATCTCGAAAATCCCATCACAGAAAAGGGCAGGTAGAATGGCTCAAAGTGTAGGCCCTGAGTTCAAGCCCCAGTACCTCAAAAAAAAAAAATGAAGTTGTAATTTTACATTGACAAAACATAATGTTTTTATCTACATAGATGATAAGTATTCTGCTGAGAAGAAAAAGAAGATAAATATTTTAACACTTGGTTTTTGGTTTGGGTTTTTTTTAAATTGGCATATATTGTACAAAGGGTTTCATTGTGCTATTTCCATATGTGCATAGAATATACTTTGATCAAATTCACCCTTTGATTGTTCTTTCTTATTCTTCCTCTCCATACCCCTTTCAAAACATTTTTTGTTTTTTGGGTGTTTTGTTTTTGCTTTTTTTTTTTTTTTTTTAATTTAATTTAATTTTATTTTATTTTTTCATTTTTCTTTTATTATTCATATGTGCATACAAGGCTTGGTTCATTTCTCCCCCCTGCCCCCACCCCCTCCCTTACCACCCACTCCCCCTCCTCCCTCTCCCCCGCCCCTCAATACCCAGCAGAAACTATTTTGCCCTTTTTTCTAATTTTGTTGTAGAGAGAGTATAAGCCATAATAGGAAGGAACAAGGGTTTTTGCTGGTTGAGATAAGGATAGCTATACAGGGCATTGACTCACATTGATTTCCTGTGCGTGGGTGTTACCTTCTAGGTTAATTCTTTTTGATCTCACCTTTTCTCTAGTACCTGTTCCCCTTTTCCTATTGGCCTCAGTTGCTTTAAGGTATCTGCTTTAGTTTCTCTGCGTTAAGGGCAACAAATGCTAGCTAATTTTTTAGGTGTCTTACCTATCCTCACCCCTCCCTTGTGTGCTCTCGCTTTTATCATGTGCTCATAGTCCAATCCCCTTGTTGTGTTTGCCCTTGATCTATTGTTTTTGCTTTTTGAGGGTTTTTTGTTGTTTTTGCAGTACTGGGGCTTGAATTCAGGGCCATCATCTTGAGTCACTCCACCAGCCCTTTCTTGTGATGGGGTTTTTTGCAATAGGGTCTTGAGGAACTACTTGCCAGGACTGGCTTCAAACCTCAGATTCTCCTATTCTCTGCCTCCTGAGTAGCTAGTATTATAGGCATGAGCCAGTGGTGCCCAGTGAAAGTGATGATTTTTAAGTAAACAAATCAGAGCTGCACTGATCAGGAAGGGGAACATGAATACCAGACAGACAACTCACGGTGTCTGCTTCTGCCTCCAGATTATTTTCTGTATGTACAGAGTACATAGATAGATGGATGAGTACCTGTATTACCTTACAAAATTCATGCTGCTTTATAACATGTCCTAATTTCAGTGATTCACAAATACTCAAAACTAATAAATGGAATTTTTTTCTTTTACTTAAGTTGACATGTGTTGTCAACTTTTTGTTTTGTTTTTGTTTTTTGAAATAGGGTCTTGCTACATAGCTCAGGCTGGCCTCGAACTCCTGCCTCAGCCTCCCAAGGGATTTCAGGTTTGTGCCACCATGCCCAGCTTGACCAGCTTTTACTACTGAATAAATTGGACTCAGTAAATCAGATGCTGTGTCATTTTTCTTGCGGTTAAATATGGTGCATTTTTCAGTAGCAGAACCTTCCATCAGTCTCCATCTACAACACAGACAGGACACTGCTCCCCTGGCTGGATGGAGGTGGGGCCAGGACCTTTTGCCTCCTCTCTCCCAAGCCTCTGGGCGTTTCTGTGGAACTCTGCTCAAACAGCTCTGCCTGGCCAATTGGTCCAGCCCAGAAAGGGCTCAGGAGCCCCTTGGTGACCCCGCTATAAGCCCAGCAGGTAGGAAGTGGAGAGAGGGCTACAGGGATGGCCAGAGAGTGACTGCTGTGAAGCTGTGGGAGCCACGTGCTCTGAGGGCTGCCCTCAGGCATTCTGACAGCAGACTCAGTTTCCCCATCCACTGGAGAGGTAAAATACCACCCACCTGAAATTATTCCCCAGACCTGTGCAATAAGGGGATAGTTTTAAACATCAGAAACCCTTGTAAACATTAAGTGAGGGGTTGGCACTCCCTGTGGAAGACATGGGAGGGACAAGCTCAGGATGACATAGGGCCAGGAGCTGACTCAGACCTCACTGGAAGGAATCCTGGTGGCGCTGTCTTCCCTTCTCCAGGAGCTTAACTCTTGGCCTTACTTGGTTTGGTTTGGATTAGTTTTTGGTGGGACTGAGGTTTGAATTCAGGACTTCGCCCTTGCAAAGCAGGCATTCTACCACTTGAGCCAAGCTTCCAGTCCTATATTCACCTTTCAGCTGTTAGGTTTGCTGCAGATATTCCTTCCCAGTTTTTTGTTCGTCTGTTTCGTGGCTCAGGTTTAGTATGTACACATGTGGGTATGTTCGTTTCTTATGAAATCGAGTCTGTCCATCTTTTCTCCCTTCTCAGTTTCAACGGCCATTTCTCTCCAGAGATGTTGTCAGCTGTTTCTTCCGCTTCCTCTGGTTGGTTGGTTGGTTTTAATTTGTTCTTTTCCTGACAGTTTCTGTTCACCACACATGGTCCTTCTTCTTTACTATGAAGCCTCTTGTCGCCAAGGATGAAGTGATTCAGTATAGTAAGCTCTCTTCCAGGTCCCTATCAAGGAGATCACGTCTCGAGCCATTTCCTCTTCCTTCCACCAGATCATGACCAACACGGGCAAGATGCGGCAGAAGGGGCAAGCCAACGTGCAGTGGAGTGGGGACGAGCCCCTGTGCAGGCCTGTCACCCCAGGAGGCCACAGGACTGGGTGCCCAGTGTAAGTCCAGGCTAAAGGAGGCAGTAGTCTATTTTCTTAAGCTTCCCTTTGACCAACTGTCATTGTAAGATGTGTGGATTTTAAAAAGGCAAAATAAAGCATTCATATTGGAAAGCATTTATCTCCTCATTATTCATCTTTCAAGGAATTTTGGAGGGAAAGAGGTTGAGCCCCAACTCCCTATACCCAGGTTTCTTCTTCTAGAAAGAGAAGTGGGTGGACAGTATCTTCAAAGGCAAGGAAAGGACCCCAGTGAATGGCGGTCCTTCCTGCAGCACCAGGCACTTTGCCGCAGTCAGGGTGTCGCAGCGTAAGATTCCCAGTCTATTTTAGATGAGTTTTCAAAAGCAGCTGTGTGGGCTGGGGGTGGGAGGCGGGGTGCCTGGCATGTGTGAGACCCTGGGTTCCAGTGTCCAGCACAGAAGGAACAAAAGTAAAGCAACTCTGCGTATCTATAGCTACCAAGCCCCATCCACTCTCCACGGCTCCTTCCCACCCCGTGATAGAAGTAAAACTACCCAGAGCTTCTGGTCTCCATGGAAGGCCTGGGTCTGTGCCCCGGTGGGTGAGACAACAGTCCAGTGGTCAGGACAGGCCCCTGCTGAGACCTGGATGGCCTCTGCTCCTGTCTGGAGAATATCATGGAGAAGCCTGTAGAGCTGGCAAGAAATGACAGTTGGTAATCAACAGCAAGAGGCCATTTTCAATGGCTCCATGTTTTACTTAGTCACACCCTATCTCTGGGTAGTTTGGGTATTTTCAGTTTTACTGTGTGGTGATTTTGTAATAAACAACCAGGCCCTGGGGATTTAGCAACAGATAAAACATGGCAATGCTGCCCTGGAAGCCTGGAAGCTCCAGGGCCCCAGCATAAGCTCTTGTCAGGTTCTTTTGCCCACCAGGGATTTTCCTTGTAAATATTTCAAGGCCACGCCATAGATCAGTGCTGAGATCATCTGATTTGATTTCAAAAGTAATAATGATAGGCTTTTGTTTCTAGGTTTTCATTTTTAATTATTGATACACCAACTAGTATTTTGTGCCCTTTTCTCTTAAACATAACACCAGTATTTTTTAACCTGTAGAGAAGTTGCACGAATATTTACTGAGGCGACTGCTCTGGTTATATTTGCTGTCTCACTTGCTTTATGTATGATATGCGATTTGTATGTAACGTATCATTCACACACAGACCTCTTCTTAACTGAACTGTTTGAAAGAAGGCTGTAGATGGTCAGCCTGCATCGCCTAGAATAAGAGTACTCTCCTGCATTTGATGGATCTTCCAGTTCCCCTGATCTGATCTGATTGCTCACTGCAGTGTAACGCACATCAGAATGTCATACCGTACAGCATAAGTATGTAGGATTGCTGTTCAGCAATTAGTAAGACACTTTTTATAGGCTTTTTGTTGTTTTTGTTTGGTTTTATTTTTTTGTGGCACTGAGTTTGAACTCAGGGCTTCACGCTTTCTAGGCAGGCACTCTTTTTTTGCGCCGTTCTGCCAGCCCTTTATTGTGTTGGGAATTTTTGAGATAGGGTCTCAAGAACTGTTTGTCCGGGGCTGGCTTCAAAGTGTAATCCTCCTGATCTCTGCCTCCTGAGTAGCTAGGATTACAGGCGTAGTCACCAGTGCTCAGCTAGTAAGATATTTTTTAAGAGAACATATAACCGGGGGGAGGGGGGAGGAAAGGGGGGGCAGGGTGGAGAAATGACCCAATGTATGTACATGTGAATGAATGAATAAAAAAAAAAAGAGATGCTGAAATCAGACAGAAAAAAAAAGAACATATAACCATATTATCACACATTGAGGCTAAAAATACTACCATAGACTGTGTCAGAATTCTCCAGTTATTCCCCCACATGTCCTTTATATCTGAAGGGTTTGTGTTTCTTTGTTTTGATCCAGAATATAGTCAGGTTTCTTTCATTCTTTTTTTTTTTTTAGTTTTTGAGATAGGGTCTTACAGTGTGTCTAGGCTGGGCTGGAACTCACTACATAGCCCAGGCTGGTGTCAAGCTCTCATTGCTCCAGATTTCAATTCTAAGTCTAGTTTCTAAGTTTAACATATTTCTGCTGTGTGTGGTGGGGCACGCCTGTAATCCTAGGACTTGGGAGGCTGAAGCAGGAGGGTCCTGCTTCATACTATTAGCCAGCCAGCGCTACCTATAAGACTTTATCTCAAAGAAAAAAAATTTAATAGTATGAATACAACCAGGTTGACCATTTAACAATCCTAAGTTAGTATTTTTGAGTATATATCTGCTTTTTGTTTGTTTTTGGTGGGACTGGGGTTTGAACTCAGGGCTTAGCACTTGCAAAACAGGCTTTCACAAAGTAGGCATTCTACCATGTGAGCCACACCTCCAGTTCATTTTTCTTGAGCCACACCTCCAATTCATTTTTCTCTGGTTATTTTGGAGATGGGGGGTCTCATGAACTATTTGCTGGGGTTGGCCTTGAACCATGATCCTCCCAATCGCAGCTTCTCAAGTAGCTAAGATTATAGGCATGAGCCACTGGTGACCAAGATTATATTTGCATTTTTTAAAAGATTGAACAGAAAGTAGAAAGGCACAGATCAGAAGGATCATAGTATGAGGCCAAACTGGGCAAAAAGTTAGTGAGACCCCATCTCAACAAATAAGCCTGGTGTTGTGACATATGCCTATTGGTCCCCGCTCATGGGAGACCATAAGTAGGTAAATCACCATCCAAGCCAGCCCAGGGACAAATGAGAGACCCTATCTGAATAATAACCTAAAGCAAAAAGGGCTGGAGGTATTCAAGTGGTAGAGTACCTGCCTAGCAAGTGAAAGGCCCTGAGCTCAAACCTCAGTAATGCAAAAACAAAAAAAGAACAACTATGTCGTTTAGGTATTGGGACTGGGATGGCAGATCATTAATTTTTCATAATAAACACTGGTTTTACCTTCAAGAACAGAAAGGCTGCAGGTAACCACCCTGCTCTGGCCTCTTTGCAGTGTGGGGCTCCCACCCTCCTCCAGCCCCTCTGGCCCTGGCCTAACCCTCTGGATTCTAGAGCCCTTTGCTCCTGCCTCTGTCCACCTAGCGCCTCTTTTGCTCTGCCGTTCACCTCCCCTCCTCCTCCTTCGTTAGGCCTGTCACCTGCTTCAGGGTGAGGCTTCCCCACCCTCGGCCCTCTCCAGCTACTTGCTATTCTGTCTTCTCCCTTTGGAGCCCTTCACGGTCAGGCAACAATTCCTGGAAGAGTTCCTCATCCCCAAGTACCCTCAGGGCCTTGTGTACTCTTGGAGTTGCCAATGCTGACCTCCCCTCCTGGTAGCTGTCACACCACAGCCCCTGTCACAGTGGGCCAGCCCTCTGCCTCTCCCTGCTCCTCCTAAAATGCCGTGTTCCAGAGCCCCCATCTGAGATCTCGTCCTACCCTGCCTATTTTCTGACTTCTGCCACACACTGACGACACTGAGTCCAGTGGGTTGTGCCCCTCAGCACCCCATCCAGCATCTCCTAGATCCACATGGCGTCTCTGAGCTCCAGCCCAGCTGGAGTCCTGGCCTTCGCCAAGCCCCTGATGTCTGTACCCCCCCACACAACCCCCAAGCCCCTTACTGTCCACCCCTACCCTCACCTGAGTCATTGCTCCCTCTCCTAATGGTTCTCCCTGCCCATGACCGTGGGCAGCTGGTCATTTCTTTGGCCCCTCATCTCCCTTGGGGATCATGTCTGGCCTGGTCTCCAGGGTCTTCTCAATGCCCACCCCCATCTTTGGAGCTCACCTTCATACTGTCTTCCAGGTCCTTTAAGGAGTGGGTGGGGGGCAGGCAGCATCCATTTTCTGTGGTACCTTAAATTTTTTTTTTTGATGGTATTGGGGTTTGAACTTGGGGCCTCATGCTTGCAAGACAGGTGCTCTTACTGATTGAGCCACTCCATACCAACCCACCTTAAATCTTTCTGTAACAGCATAACAAAAATATCTGGGGTTTTTTGTTTGTTTGTTTTTCCTCTTTACCTTTCTCACAGTGTTCCCTCTGGTAGAAAATGTTCCTTCTCTGATCCCCAGAAAACCCCAACTCAGAGTTCAAGATTAAATGTCACCCTACCACCACCACATTGAGAAGTCTTTTCTGTCACCTGGCATGTTTGTCTCCTGTCTTTGCTATCAAGTTGAACCACAAAGAATTGGCATTAAGAACAGCCTTAGGAGTTGGGCGCTCATGCCTGTGATCTTAGCTACTCAGGAGGCAGAGATCAGGAGGATAACAGTTCAAAGCCAGCCCTGGCAAATAGTTCGTGAGACCCCATGTCCTAGCTCAATAAAACACAAAACAGGGCTAGCAGAGTGGCTCAAGTGGTGGAGTGCTTGCCTAGCAAGCATGAGGCCCTGAGTTCAGACCCCAGTACTGGAAAAAAAAAAAAAGAACAGCCCTAGGCAGCACGGGCTAGTCTTCATGAGTCCCCACCAAACCCTTGATGAATGAGTAGATGGTGATGTCTTCTTATCACCTGTGCACAACTGGAGAGCTTCCTCGGGCCCTGTTGAGGTTGCTCCACAGAGTCTGCTGAATCCCTGCTCCCGGGTTTCTTTTTGTAATTTTTATTTATTTATTCATTCATTCATTTTTGGTGATGCTAGTATTTGAACTCAGGGATTTGTTCATGTGAGGCGGGCACTCTATCACTGAGCCATGTCCCTGGCCCAGGCCTCTGGGTCTGGCATAGCAAGGATCCCACATGTCTGCTGGACAAGACCCAGCAGATGCTGGCACATCTGCCAGGCAGGTCCACCGACATGGGTGCTGACATTAGACAACGTGAGTTATTGTGCTGTGTCACTTACATAGTTCTCCCCAGTCTGGTCAGGGCAGACATGACAGCAGCTCAGGTCTTCTCTAACTGGATCCATTCCTTCACTTATCTGCCTCATCCTTGAAAAAGAACCCAAAGATTTGTGCCTTGAGTTGTTTTGTTGAAATGTCTTGGGCCGTGTCACCCGAAGCTGTAGGACATGCCTGTGTTAGAAATATGCTCAGCCTTGTATCACCGGAAATTCACAAGGGCCTACTACACAGCACCTCCTGATTTCTGCCAATACCCTTTAAAAAGTTTAAATATTATATCACTTTAATTAAAAGTGGGTCCTTTAATTAAAGTTGGGTCCTGCTACCTTCCGGATTTGTTTATGATGCTACATGGTAGCCAGCAGTCAAATATCTCCTGGCTGTCTACTTACTGCTGTTTTCATGTTTTTCTGCAGGCTGGGAGACCATCTCATTTCTTCTCAGAATGCACAACAAGGCAGAAATGGCCGCCTGCAGGCCATGCCAGCCACTCACCTGTTCATCTACAAAGAGAAGAAGCCTGGTGAGGCACAGTGTGGCACGTCCTCCTCATGTAAGAGCACTGGGCTGGTAAATTCTAGAACCTAAGGGAAGCAGCAACAGTTGCCACAGGTGTATGCCCACTCCTGGGAGGCCCTCTGGCCTCAGCCACAGCCCGCAGTCACAAAGACTCTCAGGCTGCCAGTCACACAGCCAGACCTGATGCTGGCTTGTTCTCCAGCTCTCCCTCCTGGAGTGAGGTATCTGCTGCTCACCTGGGAACTACTGAGCAAGATTTTTGACTAGAGAAAGCCAGGCTTAATGTGAGACTTCAGAGAAGCAATCTCAGAATGCTGTTTTCTGTGGCTATAACAAAATACCTAATACTCTTTTTATAAGAAAAGAGGCTTATTAAAGCTTATAGTTTTGGAGCTGAAAGTCCAAGGTTATGTGGCCCCTTGGTTGCATCACAAGATGGTAGACGGCATCATGGCAGGAGTCCTTTGCAAGAGACTGAGATCACACAGCAAGATAAAAAGCCAGGGACCAGAAAGGCCAGTGTTGTTCTGTAACAACCCACTCTGGAGGGAGCTAACTGGGGTCCCAGAAGAATGGGACCCTCAAGAATGATGCTCCCTTGACCTAATCACCTTGCACTAGATCCACCTCTTAAAGGCCCCATCACCACACTGGGGACCAAGCTTCCAGCACATACATGTGGGGGGACACACTTAAACCGTAGCCATGCAGGCTCTAGTACCACACATTGTGTTGCTGAGGGGTCAGCCTCCTGCCGGAGTCAGCAGGTACAACTGGGATCAAGAACACCCCGGGTCCCAGCATCCTGTCAGGTTTCCAGTTGAGTTAACAGAGACTCATGGGGAATAAAAGTATTTTTTAGATGCCAGGAAAAATAAGAATTTGGATCAGAAATGTACAAAGTATTTCTTTTTAATTTTTGAAAGGAAATTAAAAGGATTGTGAGCAGGCCAGATAAGACTCTAATCTCCGTTCAAATAGGAAAAACAACAGAGGAGCAGGTCAGATTCCAGTATGAGAAGCATCTGGGAACCTGAAGAATCTGTGCACAATTGGAGTCAAAGGCTCCCACGCCTGGGTTGAGAGTAGTGGACCAGTTACTGTGCCTAAGGAAAGCCCAGTGACAGTGACAAGAGGGCCTCAGAGGGAGGGTCCTTATTCTGAGCAGTTTCAGGTACCAACTTTGATCAGCCGTTATTTTACACGTTTTGAGTTGTAAACAATAGTAAGCCTTCACTAAAGGCAACTGGCACAACAGTTTATCCAGAGACTTCTGCTGCCGTAAGTGGAGGACCTAGGGTGTTAACAGTTTTTGCCAGTTTGACAGAATGCCATTGAGTTAAAAATGCTTTTGAGTTCTGTAGTCCTAGACTTCCAAAAAGGCTTCATTGTTCATTCAGGATAATTTATCAGGAGCACCCTATTTTACCGCAGTAATCGTCAGGATAGCGATCAGTGCACCTGTCTTTGTCCTGATTGTAAGTACGATTGTGCGCTGTTTTTTGTTTGTTTGCTTGTTTGCAGTTCTAAGGATCAAACCTAGGGCCCCACACATACAGGTGAGCACTCAGCCACTGGGCTACACCTCAACCCCAGTTGTACCTTTAGAGAGATTTATCATACTGTTATCTGTAGGGTGAGTGAGCTTGTTATGCACAGAAATGGCTGTGTGGTGTTTGTGGCAGTTGCCACAATGTTGATATTTATTGTCATTTTCAGGAACAGTTGATTTCAGGCCAGAGCATGGTGGTATACACCTGTAATCCCTGTACACTTGGGAGGCTGAGGCAGGAGGATCACATGTCTGAGGCCAGCCTGGGCTACATAGCAAGACCCTGTCTCAAAAAAAATTGCTTTCAATCCTGACAGTCAGGGCATCCTATTCCTCTCATGAACATGGTGGGTGCCCATCAGGGTCCTTGGTTTTAGCAGTTACAAGCAGTTCCCAGGGCTTCTGCCTGGGGGAGGAGCAGCTGCTTACCAGCTCCCCCACTCCCTTCCCCAAGATGGGCAACCTAGAGCCAAGGTACCCACTCCTGCCAGAGCATGCTGGTGGGTGTGCCTCGTTAGCCTGCTCTGCATACTAAGACCATATTCCAAGTGTCCCCTCCTCACCCCTGCTCCTGTTTGCCCAGACTGCCTGGGAACCAGTCTTCTCATAGTCCATTAACACCCCCCTCCCTTCTATGGGCATCATTGCTCTAACCCCAGCCCTGGGTCCATCATCTGCCTGAAACTGGAACACTGACTGCTCTCAGTGGCCATGCCAGGCCTGCTCCAGGCTTCAGGCAGACATCCTGAGGTCTGCTTAAAAGTCCTTTCACGTGATAAAGTCCTGCAGTTGGAGAAGCCAAGCCCCCAGGCTGTTTTCTGGAGTCGTCAGTTGGTCAGCCTTTGCTCCAGTCAGATAGGCCCATCCACAGCCTTGAGCCCTGCCCCTGGGGTGGCCAGTTGGTATGTTGGTCTTCTGCCTCCATCTCTTGCTGCTCTCCCCAGTCTTGGGCTGAAAGAGGAATGGCATTCCCAGCTCTGTCTGTGCTTGTGATACTGTGCTGAGGCCTGTCCCCAGGTTCCCAGATAAGGGTGCCACAGCTGCAGGTGGGGAGGACTGTTGTGGGCTGGGTTCGGCCCTCCCTGATCCTCGTCATCTCCTGTTTCATTCCTTCCCTACTTGGGGAGAGCCTGAACTGACTTCTCTGGACCCTTCCTTCACACAGTCCTGTTTTCCAGCCTTTTCTTCTACATCTGTTCTCAGCCACCTTGTCCTCCAGTACATGTGGCTGCACTCAGCTACTCCCGGCTAGTGTCCCTGGCTGTGCTGGGAATTAATGCCCAAGCTAGAGGCCATTTGGGAACTCTCACACACACCCCCAGGGGCCTGCGTGTGGAGTTCCTCAGAAGACCCACTTTCAGCCCACACTCAAGGGAGAGGAGCCTGGGGACCTCCAGGCTGCTGACAAGTTGAATGCATGGCTGAGATGGACATTACTCATCAGCAAAGGGCTCTGTCCCATAGGGCCAAAAGGAAATAGTTCCAAAGGAAATAGCCAAGAATGTGGCACCAGGCCACATGGCCTGAGGAAAGCTATTCTGGTTTCCATCCACACAACTTTACACGAATATCAAAATCACCCCTGACATGCCAGCAGGCCCAGCGCCGTCTGACCTGCAGGTGCTTTGTTCCTTTCCCAGCCCCTGGCTCTGTTCATGGGGCTGTTCTTTGGTGGGGCCTCAGGTCCACAGTTTGGCACGTGGTAGGGGAGATGACAGGGGAGAAGGGGTGATGAGAGAAGGGGGTGAACCTTGGAGGGCTCCGGGGAACTCAGCACAGTCCCTCCTCTCTCCCACCACCCTCACCTCTACACCCTGCCCCCTGGAGGACTTGCCTGCCCAGGGCTATGGCTTTGGAAGCTGTGGATTGTAGCGGGATGTGCCTTTGCACACCCAGAACCTGAGTGCGGTTCTCTCAGATGTTACCCTGTGCAGTTAGCATGAGCACACCGAGTTAGAGCGCACAGACAAGTCCCGGACAGTGGTCCTGTGAAGAAGGGGTCAGAGAAACTGACAACTCCAGCTCTAAGCAGAAACCCTCTAATCCAAGAAGAGATGTCAGAGTGGCCTGGGAGTAAAGCCACCTGCTGGGTTCCATAGCAGAAGTGGATTTTTGTTTGAGTTAAAAGAGAATTACTGGAAGTCAAAGCCCCTTGCTCTGGGTTTAGGGAAACCTGCAGGGAAGATTCCTTTATATTTAAGACAGAACAAGAAAAAGAGAAAGAAAAAAAAAAAAAGGATGGAAAGGAGGTCACAATGCAAAGGACTTCTTCTAAATGGAAAAGCCAACAGGAGCTTGGATTGAGCGAGCAGTCAGTCTGGATTCCGTCACCACATCTCCTCTCCAGTGTCCCTCTTTGGCTGTAGGATAGAAGGGGTGGTCAGAGAAGAAGGATGCATGGCTTTTGAAATACAGACAACACAAGCCCATGCCCAGGCCTTCATGAGAGCATCTTAGCTTGCCGGCAGGACTTCCCATGCAGGTCTCCTGTGTGGCCCAGCAGCCTAGACCTTGGCCATGAGCACTTCACCACCACTGAAGCACCTTGGGCAGCTCAATGTCCACCTCAGTGCTGGCAGGTTCAGCAAATGGAAGTATACTTACATTTGCATTTCAGCTCCTGTGTGAGGTGTCAGCAGTGGCCCAGGGAGTCAATTCCATGTCTGTTGTCTTTCCCCAGGAGCAGAGAAGCTGCACAGTGGGAAGGGGCACCTCCCATGTGGCCCTCAGCCTTCAAGTTCCCAGGCTGCACAGCTAACAAGCCCCTAGTCCACAGAGGCCGAACCACCAAGCACTGGCCTGAGTAGGGGGTTGTGGGGGTGCTGTCCTGGTTTTTTCAGCCGAGCCTAGGAAAGAACATTCCAGAGAGGCTCCAGGGCAGGTGTGGACTGAGCTCTCTCTCCTCCCCAGCAGCCATGGACGCCAAGCCAGGATACTGGTCATCAACAGGACACCAGGAAGAGCCTCGTCTATCCCCCACAGCAACCCCCAGCTGGCCAAGGGACATGACTCAGGACCCAGGCAGGGGAGAGACCACCAGGTAGGGGTGGGAGTATCACAAGGCCTGGTGTCCTACTTGGCTCCTGGGGTCAGCCCCCATGGGTAGATGCAGAGTACCCCAGAGGCCTCTGATAACAGAAGTCAAGCAGTTCTCACTGGGCCCCAAAACACAGGGTGAGATACCCAGTGGAATAGGCCACCATACATGATGACCCCTCAGAGCCCAAGGGAATGGGATCTACTGGCTGAGAGCAGGAAAAGGCACTCATAACCAGGCCCCAGAGGCTAGTTTAAGAACTGTACATGTCTGATTTGGGGTAACTTGGTTAGCATCCTGTCTTACTTAGTTTTTTGCTTTTGGAAAAGGTAGGATAGAGGGGAGAAAGATGGAGAATGAAGTTAATTAGTGGCTTGGACAGGAGTCAGCTTTCTGAAACAGAAGCTTTCTCTTACTCTACCTCAAGTAAGCACAGCCTGGCCCTTGAGTGGTTACTAGTGCCCTTACAATCTAGAAAGGACCTTCCCACAATCTCACCAGCCCCTTTTCAGATCAAAGGAAACTTGTTCGGAAAAAAGGACCTGAGCAGTCTCGGACCATCCTGTCACCCAGCTCAGGCACACCTGCTGTCCCTCCATGTCCTGACCACTTGTGCCTTGCAGGCAGAGTTACTCCAAGATGGAGAATTCAACCTCTGGCTCCCAAATACGGGGCTAGAGCCTATTAAGTGCACACGTACTCAGTGTGCACTGCGGGGATGGAACAGTGGTTAGGGCCCAGGCCTTCTCATGCAGGAGGTGGTGCCTCCATCTGCTAGTCTGCAGTGGGCCACCTACCCTCTCAAAGCAGCTAAAGGGGAGCCTGTCTGCCAGGTCAGGGGTTCTTTGGCTCTCAAACCCCTCCTGAAATAAAAGGGTATGGGGTGAGGGGGGGATGAAAAGAAGAGACCTCAGAGGAGCGGGCCAGAGTTGCCTGGCCTGGCCTGATTGCCCCTGGTTGCTCCCAGGGCCAGACAGATCCTCCTGCAGTTTAGCCAGTCGAAACCTGCCCTTCCGGTGCTGGGGCCCTTTCTCTTTCCTTCCTGTAAATGTTGAGCTCATTTCTGAAGCTCACCACTGGGCACAGCCCTCTGTCATCGAAATAACTGTTCTCATAGTCACATCCCCTTAAGCCCTCTTCTGGTTATAGCCCTTGCTATAACCAGCAGGGTTCCCCAGCTGGTCTTCCAGGCACAGATGCCTCCTCAGGCTCAAACCCATGAATGCCCTCACCTTATGGAATTCAGCTCTTACTCTGTGTCTGGGGGTTCTGTGAGAAGAGGAGGAGGATAGAAAGAGGGAGAAGAAAGCACTGTCCTCTGTCTCTCTCCTTCCCATTGGCCCTGCCTGGAATATTCTTTGCCCACCCGCAACCTCTGCTGGGCTGATAACTTCAGCCTCCCCCTAGCCAAGCACCTTCCTCCTGCCTGACCCAAAGGCAAGTCACACCCCCTGACCACAGGCTTCTAGAAGCCACAGTACTCTCCCACAAGCAGGGAGCCAGCTGTGTTGTCACATTGTCTACAGCTATCTCCCACCGTCCTCAAAGACAGACCACACTCAAAGGGCGTCTGCCATTGTGTTTCCACACCTGGCTGTCAGAACTCGTGTTTGGTGGATACACAGGAGACTCGGAGAAAGAGCAGCTGTCTATGTAGCCTCAGTGGGGGGCATTTGTCCCGGGTCTTTTGGGTAAGGACAGTGTCTCATCCTAGAAGAGCAGTAGGATGAGCCTGCAGAAAGCTCCAGGAGCTGTAGGCTTGGGGAGATGGTAGGCTGATCCCGTGGTGTGGCCCTAAGGGGAACTGGAGATAGTTGTCACTCAAACTCCATTCCAGTGGCTTCAAACAACTGGGCTTCCTTTAAAATTGCTTGTCTAGGAACTGGAAATTAAAGTTCAGACTGTATAGCCCTACCCTGTCCTCTCCTACCTCCATGGCAAGGTTTTCTTTTCCTTTTTTTTACTGGCTTTTCTTAGAATCTCTAGTGTTAAGTGTCTGAGGAAAGACACTGTTGACCAAGCCAGCCTGGGCAAATAGTTTACAAGACCCTCTCTTGAAAAAACCAAACCCAAAACAGGGCTTGGTGGAGTAGCTTAAGTGGTAAAAGCACCTGCCTAGAAAATGTGAGATCCCTGAGTTCAAACCCCAGTACAGCCTCCCCACCAAAAAAAATGTATTTGTCAGGAAATAATCCAGATGCTTCCTGGTGGTCTAATGGTTAGGTTTGGCATTCTCTCAAGAAATAATCCAGAATGCGAGTGGCTCACTTGCTCCTTGGAAGAGCAGTGGTTGGGCATCCTGGTCGAAGATGGCACTTTGCCTTTGTTGTCACTTGCCTTCTCTGTCACCCTTGGGCTGGCATGGTGCAGGCACATAGCTTCAAGACAGCCTCATGATTCCTGGAGAACAGCCCGAGCTGGGCATTTCTTGGGAGATTCGCCTTCATATGGCTTGAGGACAGGTGAGAGGCGGTCTTCTCAGATGGCACTTTCTTGTCTAGTTCAAGGCCAGAGTTAGAAACTGTCAAAGTTCTTATCCTGCACAGAAAACAGGAAATGACTCCTTGGCAAGTACAGATTGATTAACCCTAATTAGAAAAATCTGAACTCTAAAATACTCCAAAATCTGAACTTTCTGAGTACTCACATGACCCAGTAGAAAACTCCACACCATAAAACTTTGTTTCATGCATAAAATTATTTAAAATACTGTATAAAATTACCTTCATAAGTATAAGGTATATAGGAAGCATAAATTAATTTTAATTAATTTTTCGTTCAGGCTTGGATCCATTCCTAAGACATCTCATGCATATGTAAATGTTCCAAAATCCAAAAACATCTAAAATCCAAAACACTTCTGGTCCAAGCATTCAGATAAGGGAAACTGAACCTGTATAGTGGCTTCTTCAACATAAGAAGAAAGAGATTTTTACATACCTGCTTCTCCCCTCTCATGTGTCCCCTAAGGATATATGGCACAAGCAGTGGGTCAGCTAAAAGGAGTGACACGCTAGGGACAGGCCAGGGAAAGCGGCTGGGCTAGCTGTGTGTAAATGGGCACACATGAACTGTTGGCAGAGTTGCGCATTTGCTTTCATCTGGTATGTTCTCTTCTCCCCCGGTTGCCCACCCCCCCACCACCACCACTTTCTGGGTTTTGTTACAATTGGTGAGATGTCTGCAGCAGTGACCAAGAGCCACTTCCCATCCTAGGGAGCAGAGACCACTCACCTGTGCCTTCACATACACTGAAGGGACAGGGATCCTCTGCCAGGGTCCTCAGCAACCAGGTGACTCAGCAACATTCCAAGCCTTCTGTTGCCTCTCTGCCAGCCCAGCGCTCTCACTGATGAGCTGAGGGCCCTCACCTAGTAAATCATCACCGTCTCCAGGATCCCTCCCAGTTAGCGCATGGCAAACCCACCTTCCCCCAGCCCCCACTGCCATGGTATTACAGTCATGAGACATCAGCATCTAGCTTGTCAGTGTAATTTTTCTAATTATGGAGTGATGCAGTCTCAATATTAAAAGAAAAAGGCACATAGAAATAGACATGAATTTAAAAATCAAAAATAAAAAAGTCCACAGTTTCCTAAGAAACACTACAGAACTGTAACCCCCATTTATGTAGTGCTTATATCAGGACCCGAACACATTACTGAGTCATCAAAGCTGCTGTTTTGTGTTTTACAGGTAGAAAAACTGAGGTTCCCAAAGTGCCAGGAGACTTGCCCACGTGTAGCCAGCAGCTGGAGAGGGACAAAATAAACCTAAGTGTCCTTGGGCCACTCCAGGGAATGTACCTCATACTTGCTAGGGTCCTAGGCTTCATGCCCCAGCAGGGAGCTCATCCCCACTACCAACAGGATTGGGGGCCCTGTAGCCTGTCAGCATCTCTGTCCTGGCTGGGGGACCTCCCCATCAGCTCAACAACCATCAGGATGCGTAGATCATGTGCAGTCCACATAGTGAGGCACCCACTTACAAGCGGGAAGATAGGCCACCCACCACACCTCTGCTGCTCGTGACCTAGAGGTAGCGTGAGCTCATTTAGTGGTGACAAGTGATGGTCTGGGGCTCCAAGCCTTCAGACAAAGTCAGGAAAATGGGTGTCTTTAGGTAGTAAGTGTTCCAGTTGTCAAGGTGAGAATGCAGAGTTCATGTCACCTGTGACCACAAGATAGAAAGGGAGACCTCACCCCAGCCTTGTTCCTGGGAGGCAAGAGAACCAGAATCCCACTCGTGAGATACTAGTCTCAGAACACTGAGCTGCAATGGCTAGGGCCTGATGGAAGGAGGGAGCCAGCACTAAGACCAGGCCACATGTCCCACAAGACTGCTCAACCAATAGGGACCCAGAGGGTGTCTAGACAGCAGCTGGTCTCAGAGTCTCGGTCAACTTCTGGCCTCACTACCTGCTGATAGGTTCAGGAAGACTAAACCTTGGACCTTCAGCCTCTGCACCTCATAAGTGAGGTATAACACCCAACTTACAGGATTGTTGGAGTGGTCAGTGTCACCTTCCCTGGCCACCTTGTCTATAATTAGTCTCCTATTGCTGTGGAAACAATTTCCACACTTTGAGAGACCTGAACAACATATACTGTCTCACGGTTCTGTAGGTAGAAGACCAACTGGATGCCCCTGGGCTAGAATCCAGTGTGGACAGGATGTGTTCCTTCCTGGGAGAGGACTCACTCCTTGCCTGTCCTCCCTGCCTCAGGGCCCTTCCTCCATCCTCAAAGCCAGCAGCAGTGCTGTAGGGATCCAGCTTAACCTGACTACAGCCATCTTGGTCATAACTGCTTTGTTGCTTGCCAGGCAACCCTGGCACACCTCCCACACCCAAAGGAAAAGCAAAGTCATTAAGATCATCAGCCATGCATGTTGTGCCGGCCATCGATACCCAGACTTTTTCTTAACCAACATTGGCCATGTTAATAGTTTCTGAAAAAGGCCAGTATATTCCAGACAGCCCAGGTCCACCTTTGCGTAGCTTCACAGATAAACCCTTCCTCCTGCCAGAGGGCAGGGTGCCAGGATCCTCCTGTCTTGCTGCCACATGAGACATGTTTCTGCCCATAGTCCCTAATGGATGTTTTGTGCAATCTTGGATTTGTTCCCTCTTTCTTGGGATGCCCGGCCACTTCCACCTGGGACAGCCAGTTCTCATACATCAGGACTGGGTATGCACTTATTTCATCTCTGTGCTTGTCTCCTAAAACCCCTCTCTTTCTCCGACTATCCTGAGCTGCCTCCTTATTCCAGTTCTCAGCACCCTTGTAGTCACCTGCGCCTGCCTGGGTAATCCAAGATAGCCTCTGTATTGTAAACCTTGCTAACTCTGCAACCTTAGCAGCCTTAAGGTCCATCTGCAACCTTAGTTCCACTTGTCATTTTACGTGACATGTTCACAGGATCAGGTGAGTGTGGCCTAGGCACCTTTGGGGACCGTTGTTCTCCCAACGGGACCATCCTATCTAAAATGCCAGTGCTCTTTCAAGCCCTGTTCCTTTGTCCACCTAGTTTCTGCTAGCATTTCCTCCCCTAGCAGGTGAGCTGCACCACTCCATCCCTCCCAGCCTCTGACCACACCTGCCTGGCATCTCTTAGGGCTCAGAGGGGCAGTTGCCTTCCCCCACCAAGATTCCTGTTTGCTTATCACCTGTGATTCTAGATTGCACTTATTTCCTAGGGAATTTACCTCAACCTTCAACTGCAAGCTGTGGGCTCCCTGCACCCCAGAGACCTTGGAGCTGAAACCACCCAAGGCAAAGGCGTCCGCTCTGGCCCCTCAGTTCTCTTTGTGTGGCCCACAGCAAGCCAACCGCCCTGGCTCCACAAGGAGCCTGCAGAGTAAGTAAGCCTGAGCCCCTGTGGGTGGCTCAGAAGGAAGCGCATTGTGTCCTGCATTTGATCCCAGGTACCTTCTGTGTGTGTCCACCAAGCAGGTAGAGAAGATCCGCTTCCCTTCTCATGGAACCAAGGCCCTCACCTATGACTTCCCTTGCCCCATTAATCTTTCTGCTAATTAAATTGTCATTGTCTTCAGTGGCTCATACACAAGCTGGCCAAGTGAGACCCACCAGGGCCAAGGCCGCATCACTTGGAGATAAGAGCCCCGCTCTTTGGGACTTGTGAAGTCTCTGATGCATTTGGTTGGCCCTGAAACACGGACTTTACTCTGGTGAGGGCACCTGCCCAACCCAGCCCCAACAGCTGTGTCCCTGTGGGGCTCCAGCTGCTGGCCAGGGAACCTATAAGTCAAGCAGAAGCAGGTGTCTCCTTGTAGGTTGGAAGGCAAGGCCACTAGGAGGTCCCAGGGCAGAGTGGATCAGGGGTCACCAGTCTGTCCCACGGCCTCTCTCCTGCCATTTTGCTCACTGTCAGAATCACCTTTCCATCTTTTTCTGTCACCTCCCAACCTCACCCAGTTGACAGCCTTGTCTGACACTTCCCCACCCTCCCTGAGCCACATCTTTCCAAAGGGATTTACTGAAAATGGGGAAACAAAAGGACATAGCAAAGAATGTCAAGCAGCACAAAAGCAATCACACTCAGCACATGCACACTTCTGTGATTGCTGCAGTTTCGCCCCACTCCCTTCCTGCAGGGCCCTGGTAATGGGCCATGGCTAAGCCACCATGTGCCTTCCCTGTTCTGCCTGGAAACATAGTGAAACCCAGGGTTGGGTTAGGCTACTTCTGCCCAGTCCAGTGGCAGTGGCCAGCAGATACAAGGAAAGGGTGACCAGGAGGAAGGCAGTCAGGCTCCTCTCACCCTAACCTGTTTCAGTTGCACCAGGTCTGGAAGGCCTGGCTGATTATAATCACAGTAAAAAAACTCCTGTAACTACCAGCTGGCTGGCCACACGTCCAGTAGCATCACGTGGCCAGAGCCTGGCATTCATGGCTCCTGAGCAGTGGCTTCAATGTGTCCTGTGGGCTCCAAACAGAGAGCTGTCGCTAGCAGAGCTTGTCATGCCCCCTGACCAGGCAGCCTGCTTCCTGTGCAGAAAGACTGAGGCCAGACTTTGTGTCCTAGCCACAGAGCCCGGACCAGGGCGGGAGAGTTCTCTTTATTCTGTTTGTACATAGTGGGTTGAAAGAAAGGATTGTATGAGACAGAGGGGTTCTGTGCAGAGACCACTGGCACTGGCCTCTTGCCCTTGCTTTTTTTCTCCAGACAGCCAATCTTACAGGAAGTGAAGATGGCTTCTTTCCCTGGGTGTCACCATCACGTTGCCTAAGGACCAGCCAGCAGCTGCAGGTGACAGATATGAAGAGACACTTGTCTACAAGACACTGGGCACTGGGGAGCTGAGGAAGGCTGGTGCTCCAGGCCACTGAGGAGCGAGACCAATGAAGCCCCGCCATCCAGGCACTGTCTCCTCTGGACAGAGTCACATGAGGAGGACTGGGAGAGCCTGCTATTGCCCTCCTGGGGAGGGGAAATTCCCTGGTCACCTTTCACCCCCAGAGGAGGAGACGGGTGGCCTTTGCCCTCAAGAGACCTTCTGTTCCAGGAAGAGCTAGCTCCAGATTTGGCATCCCCGGCCCTCACAAGGACTTTTCTGGGCAGATAGTGGAATGCCAGGCCAATGAGCTGCCTCTTCCTAGATTTCTGAGCAGGGCTGCCTCGTGGAAGCTGGCTTTCCTCACTTAGACCAACTGCAAGGACGCAGGGAGGGAGGATAAGGGACCCTCATCTCAAGCCATGATCAACAGTACTACTTTTCTCCTCTTTGAAACTCTGATAAAGAATATGGGGGGAGCAGCCTGTGCTTCTGCACACATTTTGTTTGTTTATTTGTTTGTTTGGTGGTCCTAGGGTTTGAACTCAGGGCCTCACGCTTGCCAGGCCTGCACTCTACCTCTTGAGCTGCTCCACCAGCCCTGTTTTGTGTTGTTTTTCGGGATAGGGTCTCACCAACTTCTTGCCTGAGCTAGCTTTGAAACTTGCTCTTCCTGATCTCTGCCTCCTGAGTAGCTAGGATTACAGGCGTGAGCCACCAGCACCCAACTTGTACATGGTTTTAAAGGCTTTAAAAAGGTGACCAGTTTTAGCCAGGCATGGGTGGCACATGCCTCCAATCCCAGCACCCAGAAGGCTGAGGCAAAAGAATTGAGAGTTTGAGATCAGCCTGGGCTTCATAGCAAGACCCTATCTCTATAAAAAAAGAAAGAGGAGGAGGAGAAAAATAAAAGATAAAATATCGAAGTTATTAATGAAAAACAAGTCTGACGCTGAGCTGTGGGCCTCGGGTTCAGAACTCCTGGCTTGACCTGCAGATGCCTAAAGTGTAAACACCAGCACTGTCTCCAGCATTGTGAAGTGAACAGGAAGCAGAGGGCCCTGGGTGGAGTCAGCCAGTGGTCAAAGTTGGAAACAGAGGTTGCAGATGGATAGCAAAGAATCGTGGTGGGAAAGACTGTCCCATCCTGAGTCAGTCCACACCCCTGGACTCCTCAGCTGATGGTGCCTGGCACTGCCTTTCCCTGCCTGGCATGGGAGCAACAGACTCCAGGGGCTGAAGAGTCATGTTTTCAACCCAGTGCCTCCCCGGCATGAGGCAACTGCTGTCTCTCCTTCAAGCCTACTATGAGTGAAGTCTGGCTGGCAAATGGCTGGCCTTTTGGAGAGAAAAGATAGTCTCTTAGAGGTGAGAGGAGTGTCCAGCGTAGGCCAGAACACACTGAGATCAGCAAGTGAGGCCTGCATGGTTTTTCAAGAAAGTAAATACCACCCAGGCCTCCCACCACACCCCTAGAGAGGCTGCTCCCAGACACACACTCCTACATTCTTAGGCTGAAGGCAAGAAATAGGAGTTTCTGGGATTGCAGGCATGCACCACTGTGCCCAGCTTCATTTGTGTTTTTATTTAGCTCTTTTGACTTGAGTCAAACCCTTCCCAACCTGCTGACTGACCTGTGATCTCTGACTGGAGTACAAATTTCTTTCTATCTATTTTACTCCAAAACCTGATTTAAGGTATTGCCAGTTACACCTCAAAGTGAATAAAACAAGTGGGATGGAGTATTGCTCAGAAGACACTGAGGTGCAGAATAGCCAGAGAGCAGGGCACAGCTTCTGGGACACAGGGCCACAATATACCTGATTTTCCAGAAGTTCTGAGTCTTTGCTCATGGTCCCTTGATGGGTTTCATGGGTGAATCTTAGGAGCCATGTGATTTTATCTCCAGGTGTTTTCTTATTTGGATATTTGATTTTTTTTTTCCTCTACAGCTTCGGTTCATATCCAGCCTCAGCTAACTCAGGGGATTCAGCAGATATTTGGACTATTTACGAAAAAGTTGTTGGTATGTTTAAAAGCATATAACCACAGCACTTGGAAGGCTGAGGCAGGAGGATCTCAAGGTTGTAGCCTGGGCTACATAGTGACATCCTATCTCAAAACAAAACAACAACAGCAAAAAATTAATGCTCGCAAAGTGACAAAATGTCAGTTTTTTTTAATGAAGTCTGACACTGCTTCTATGTGACACTGCTTGCCTAACCTTAATCCTAGCCTCCTGGGCTGATGGAATGGCTCAAGAGACAGTGTGCCTGCCTAGCAAGCATGAGGCCCTGAGTTCAAACCCCACTATTGCCAAAAAAAAACCTAATCTTAGCCCTCATTCACATAAAACTTTATATTTACAAAATAGCATCTGGTATGTGGAACAGTTTACTGATTTTTTTTTATCTTTTAAAATATTGCATTAAAGTATTTATCTTGATCACAGAGTGTTTGGGTGCCCCCTTAAGTTTACTATGTAAAGTGAATGCTTCACCCCCCTCACCCTAATCCTGCCTCGGGATCTGGGGGATCTTTCTGAGCCTCCCAGTGCATGGGGCCTGTTTGCCTGACCATCTTCATCTCCCTAGACTCTTCGTGGTGAGCTGTATTGAGGAGCAGTTCAGTTAGCCTATGTGTGCAGCAAACCATCTCCAAACCTTAGTGGCTTAAAATGACCATTTATTTATTAGCTTCCCAATGACATGGACCAGCGTGGAGGCTGGGCTCAGCTCAGTTCAGCTGAACTTGGCTGGACTTGACTGCATCTGTGTCAGAGCATGGGGAGGGGCCTCACTCAAGTCTGGCAGTTAGCTGTTGGCTGGGCCCTTGATTCTCCAGTGAGGCCTCATCTTCCAGCAAGCTAGCTGGGGCTTGTTCACAGGGTGGTCTCAGGGTTCTCACTGCAGTGACAGCTCACGTTCAGGTGCTCTTCAAGTTCTAGTGGTATCATGTGTGCTGTTCTGTCATGGACCAAAGCAGATGATATGGTCAAGGGTGTGTGTGGATACAGAGCTATTGAGCTGATGGTGGACACAACCGGGACACCTACCACATAGATCTTACCTCATTTGTCAGAGCTAAACCTGTCAGGGTCGTCTCCCCACTGTGGCAAAACCTCCCCATTTTAATTCAATTGAACAAACATATCCACTGGGACTGCTGTATTGAGGTGTGGAGACAGCCCCCTGGCCCTCGAGTTTCCACTCATCTTCTTAGGGAGAATCCTGGCCTTTGTGAATGGCTACAGGCCAGGCCAGAGCACCAGCCCAGGTGGAGGTGATGGGCAGATTTCCAGGGGGAGGTTGCAGAATTAGGAGAAGTTGAGCTTGGAGGCTCATCTCCCTGAGGTGCCAGGTGAAGCTGGAGAGTGCATGGGTTCTCAGAGGAGAGGAGTAGAGAAACAAGAAGCCAAAGATGAGTATAAGAAAAAGGAGGGGAGGGTACAGGAGGGAGATTCCAGGGAGGAAGAGGGCACGGAGACAGGGGGATAGTGGGACATAGAGGGATGTCACCATATCATAGCTAAGGAGGATGATAGGGGAGGCTGCTTGGGGCCACCTCTAAAACCACTTGCTGTAGAGTATTGACCAGAAGTCACCTGGAACCATATAAGGCCAAGGCCAAGGCTGAGGGCTTTGAGGCCAGAGGTCCTAGAGAAGGAGGAGAGGCCAAGATGATGGCATGAGCTCTGAGAGAGGAATCTATGGCAAAGGCAATGGAACCGTAACCTTGAGGGTGCCCGGGAGTTCAGAGCCCACCAGGCCCTCCTCTGGCACCTGGGCAGGAGGCAGTGGTATATTAGAGCCAGCCTGCAAGACCTGATCGTTAAATTGTCAGGAACTCTATGAGCTGGTTTTAAATACAGCCGTTACCAAAACTTAAATTATATAAGCCTATGTTTTGATAAATTCTCTTAAAAACGAAGGTGATAAGGACTCAAAACTTACATTTACTATTGCCTGTCATGGAAGTTGTCAATATCTGTTGTATGAGACGGCAGAACGCTAGCCATCATGCCTCTCTCCCAAGCGCTGTGTCCAGTGTCGCCATTCTGCTCACTTGAAACTGTCCGCGATGGAATTAGTTATACCACAGAGATGGACAAGTCCCCCAGCAGACCCTTCCTCCCCCGAAAGCCACTTGTTAAACGTTTGCTAGCACACCGCTGTAGAAGCAATGCAAGATGAAGCATCCTTGAGGCAAAATGGTGGGTAGACCAGGGGAAGCAAGGCAGTGTGCGCCCCTTACAACAGCAAAGCCAAAGCCGCCACAGACAACGGGCTGGTGGCAGCTACTCCAGAGTCTCCGCACACAGCCCAGTTCATTTCTGCTTCAGCTCACTTCTGGACCTTGGCCTTCAGGTACTAGCCTGGGGCTCTTCTCCCTGGGTTACATAATAACTAGGGCTTCCTCCGATTGACTTGGGTGTGTTCTTGGAGAGCTTCCGGAGGGCACACGGCCCCTCCTCACACTTTAACTGTCCCTGTCCTTACAGAAGCACACCTGCTCCAGTGCCCAGGGTATCAGTGATGAGTCACTACTTCCTGGGAGTGAAGAGAGTTCACTGATGACACGGTTGGACCCCTCGACTTTTTGCTTTGGTTCTTAGCCTGGTGTAGGGCAAAGGGGACACTGACTAGGGCTGAAAAGGAGACAAATGTGGGGGACCCTCTCAGACTAGCAGGTTCCCAAGGAGCCTGAGCTCAGAGAGCAGCGTCTTCAAGGGAAAAGCCAGGCAGAGAATCCCACTGACCTACAGATCTAAGGGGCAGGCCTGGGGACCCAGGTTTTACTGGTAGGAGAAAAGGATAGAGCCAGGATAAAGTGCCTGAGCCATAGGTAAGAAGAGGGGAGGCAAAAGTCGGTAGAGAAGGAAGTCACGGGACACCACCACCATTTCCTGGCCAAACGAGGAGGCCTTAAAGGGTCCATTGACCCCTGGGCATGAGGCTGGTATCAGGTGTCCTGGCATGGCAAACAGCGCATGCACCAGGAAAGCTAGCACTTCGGGTCCTTAGCACCACAGATAAGGCACAGGGTGGCCCTGGGCAGAGTGCAGAGTGAGATGAGGCTGGGCGTGTTGGTTGTGGGCTTCGTGGAGCCACTGTGAGGCTTGGGACTCAGATCGATGGCGGGTAGCAGGCCCTGGCAGGTCACTAGCGTTGTCGGGAGACCCGGCAGCAGTCAGGACTGTCTCCCCGCAAAAGGCAGAAGAGGGAAAAGCATTCTGAGTCTTTATGGGGCGCCCAGAGACTCTCAGAAAGAGTGAGAGCCAGAGGGCTGCGCCGCATTAGGGCCCTGGCTGCAGGAAGGCTGGGCACACTAGGGACCAACAACCAGTGCCTCATCTCAGGGAAGAGGCACAGTCCCTGGACCTACTCCAGCAGTCCAGCTGAGGCTGCACCCACACCTGGGGGTTTGTTATTCTGCTGGTTGGAAGAGAGGAAGAATGGAGGGAGTGGCTGTTTTCCACACAATGACTTCAAGGAGAATGATTCCTAAGTCAGTCATAGAACTATAGCTGGCAGGGGGAAGGGTGACTGGACACGACCAGTGTGACCCTTCCAGGGGCTAAAGTCGAGACCAAGATAGAGGGCTGTGGGATATCAGGCCTCAGGCTGCTGTATGGACCCATCTGAAGGGGGTCATATGAGGTGCCTGGAATTCCAGAGCAGTTAGAAATGGGGATGCTGCTGGAGCAGTGATGCTGGGGCTTACTTCCTCCAAGATGAAAGGCAGCTTCTGTCCTCTCCCTTCCCACTCTGACCATGGGGACTACTTCCTCTTCCATGCCCCAAATGCATGCCAATCAGAGCCTGTCCTGGGGAGTTTGGACTGGAACCAGGGGCCTCCTGCTT